TTCCGGAAGTGAGACTTGCATGCTTTGCCGTTCAGATGCTTTAATCCAGGGTTGATTATTATCCAAGCATGCGTTTCACCTTGGTGCGGTGTTGAACATTAATTTACGAGTGAGTTTGAACGGCAATGGGGCAGCTTTATTTTGGAAAGCCAAGACCCCGCCTCAACATGGGATTTGTGACCCTGACAGATAGGTCTGACAGGAGTGTGTGGGGGTTGTGTTGGGAGTTAGTACTTCAGGTTGGTTTAGAGGCAGCCAAAACGATCACCGAAGCCAATTGGTCCACATTTCTACGACAAAAATGTTCGGACTCGAAGAGAATTGGCCCAACATGATGTCCTCAATTAAGGGACGAGGGGCAAACCGGATTCTCGCCAAAAGGGCGTGTCTCGTTTAAACTGGGCGCCGTTTTTGGTGGGTGGAGGAAGCCGAGAAACTCCAAGGATTTCGGTGTCCTATCGAGGCAACCCTTTTTGACACAACACACGCGTCTTCGAGATCGTTCAGATTAGTCGGACGATGTTTCGCAAAGTAGGAACCCCACTCAGCTGGCTGAATCCTTGCCCTGGCTTGAGACAGGCAAATTATCAAGGGTTGCCAGTTTCCACAAATCGACGAGCAAACGAGCCGGTCTGGTTCAGGTTGTCAAGCACCAGCCCGCCTTTCCGAACCAATGATGTTGGGGTAGCGCTTTGTAGCCGGTCTCAAAGCGATGTTAGAGTTTACTTTTTTGGTAGACTAAACAGGAACATCAAATCTAAACGCAGCTAAGTTTTGATCCCTCCCATCGACAGGAAGCTGGAAGGCTCGGATGGTTGCTTCCGGGCCAGGTGTTTTGCTGAGCGAAGCCCAGATCGAACCATCGGGCTTCTGCACATTGACCACTCCACCAAATTCATGCTTTTGCGGGCGGTTGGTATACTCTTTGTTTAAGGGAAAGCGAAAGCGAAACTGGTTTGGGTGGGTATCCTGATTTTAGAGATACGCCCAACGTTGGTTTTTGTTGGCAAAGACCGTTGCGACTTAAAGGTAAAGAAGGGTTTCGGTCTGCGACCCATCATGTCCTATGGTTTCCTTCACGGGATGCCTTGTTTCCGCTTCAGTCCCCGACATGTGCAGCACAGAACCCATTTGCGACCACTGAGTTGCGCGATTCTGTTCTATCGCCCCAAGGGTTCCTGAAAGCATAGAACTTGGCCAGTCAAAAAGTCACTTGGGGTGGAGTGGCAACGCCAGTTCAGGTACAGCCCGGGATTTTCCCTTATGCGACACGAGCCATGCCTAGCGAAGTTGGGCTTTTGTACGCCGAAAAGGCAAGGGCCCCAACTCAAAGGGCACCAAACCCTGCTTATTCTTCTTTGAATTTGAAGGTTTCTTGACACCTTCCGAGGATGTACCCAAACCCTTTTTTGGACGCCTGAAGTACATCCTTGTTCCTTAGAAGGTAAGGGACCCTTTGGGCAGTGTGTCCATGAATTCGTTGCAAGACACTTTTGCCTGAAGCAAATCGGCAAAACAACAAAATAACTCAATCGGAAAAAATGGCCAAACAAACGGAAAAATATCCCCCCCCCAAAAAAATACATAAAATAAAATAAAATACAAAAAGCGCTTCGGGTTGCAGCATGGGATGCCGAGGCCTCGATTTTCCTTTTCAACTTCCTTGTGGCGCAGTTATCACAGGCCGGGCCTCCGGCTTGCATGGGGCTTGAGCCTCCCCAGGGCACGGGTTTTCCAAAGGAAGTCATACCTTCTGGTGGTCCTGACCCGAAAAGGAGAGAGCTCGATTCGAGCCACTGCGAAGGACCCTCAAAAACCACGGGCCCCCGACCCCCCACCCCCAAATGTTTCGCGTTTCTCAAGACTCGAGCGCAGGCCTACCACATGGCCCATGAAGACATGCCAGGCTACGCCCGCCTGAACCGGATCTGGACCATTGTGGAAGTGGTGGCAAGAGCGCTCAGATCGCAATGGGGCAATTGACCAAAGCTCACTCCCGCAGTTTCTGGACGTTGTACTTTTTGAGAAAGATGTGCTCAGATGCAAGCCACAGAAATAAGACTTTTTGTTCCCAATCCACGTGGAAACTATGAAGAGAAGCCGGGACAAGTGGCCTTTGGGCGGGACATTTCTGCGCACAAGCATTATGAGCGCACATTTTTTTCAGGAGGTAGAGCGATCAATTCCACCGTGAAGATCCCACACCTGTGGGATGTCTGGTGACCAGTCTCTGAATGAGAGTAATTTGCCCAACGACAAGGGCGCGACTGTCCAGAAGTTGTTTGAAACCTTCTGTTCTTACAAACTGCGAGCCTGGGGGCAATGATGTGCCCGGCGTGGCACAGAGGTGTCTCCAAGTTCCGTTTCCAAAAAACAGGATACATCCAATAAGCTGATTCACAGGAGCCCCCCTAACCAGCTGGTTGACTGATGTCGCAGGCGCAGCTGGTATCCTTCAAGCAACCTTGCAAAATCGCCCACGGCTCCAGCTTTGGACTCGACTCAAGGGACAAAAAGAGAAAAAAACCAACAACAACCCGACTCGCCCTGCGTTCCGGACCTGTTTCCAGGTTCCAGAGCAGGCCTGGCGTCGGTTTCTTGAGAGCCTACATTTTGAAGAGCCCTTGGAGTTCAACGAGGGAGACGTGGGTATCTCCGGCGGGATCCAGGCCATTTGCCTCGCGGCCAGCGCCAATTTTTGCATTGTTGGACCCTCGAAGTGGCTTCGGTCTCATGACCTTAATATGTGGACCCCATACCATGGGTCACAACCTATCGCGAGCTCCATGTTGGGGCGGATGAACCTATTTTGATGTTCACCAGGGGTACAGAGTGTTGACCCACAGCCATAGCAATCCACGCAACAACTTCAAATGATCACCACAAGCAGTTTAACCTGCACCCAGGACATCCCAGGACCCATTTTTTGTACCCCAATGGCGGTTCACTGCCATATTCCTTAGACTAAGAGTTTGGAGATATCTATGACATAGTGAAGGTTTAGCTTTTAGCAAGGGAGCAATCCACTGGGACGTGTTGACCCTCAATGGTCATTCCTGGCCCCTCATGGCCCCTCATGGTGCCTAATCGTCGCTGTGTGGTGCTTAAGCATCTGCGATTTGACCTCCCCCCTCCCCCCAAGGGACCCTGACACAACGGCCCTACGGGGAGGAGTTTTTGACACCTCCATAGGAAGGCCCAAGGCTGGCTTGTCTTGTATCTTTGAATGCGCGAACCGGCGGCGAAGTGAACCCCCGGCTTTGCACCGAACTGCATGCGATCCTTTTGACCTGAAGTCTGGATGGCATCTCAAGTACATCTGAAGGTAATTGGATATATATATATGCTACCGCCCCCCCCCCCAAAAAAAAAAAAACACACCAGGTTTTGAACCTGGATAATTGCCAAAATCACTGGACAAAATGCTGCTTTTGAGAAATGCTCGCCTCTGCGAAGCGCATATTTTTCAAGTTCAAGAAGTAAATGTTGGCAAGTTCAATTAGTTAGTCAAACAAACAGTCAGCAAGTCAGCTAATTAGTCACATACATAGTTGTCATGAATTAGCTCTAAAGCCAGCTAGCTAGTTAATTGGCTAATCATTCAGCTGCCTAGTTAGTTAGATAATACTGAAGGTATTCCCCTAATATTCCCCTTCCTTTACTAGTGAAATAGTTGGGGAACACTACGGGGGTAGTGAGGAAACACTAGGGGTATACCAAGAGAATACTACAGGAATACTAGGGCAATACTAGGGGAATACTAGGGCAATACTAGGTACGTTCTCAGGGAATACTAGGGCAATATTAAAGGTGAATACTAGGATAATACCTGGGAATACTGAGGGAATACTAGAATTATACTCTCAAGCTTAATCTGTCTGACTTCTCTCAGGCTTTCTGACTAGGGCAATACCAGGGCACTACTAGGGAAGTACTATATTAAAGGTGAACACTAGGAGAATACTAGGGGAATTCTGAGGGAATACTAGGGGTATACCAAGAATATATTTAAGGAATACCAGGGCAATACTAAAGGTATTCCTCTAGTAATTCCATCCCTTTACTAGGGGAAATACCGAGGAATACTATGGGGTAGTGAGGAAATACTAGGGGTATACCAAGATACTACTAAATTAACTGAATACTAGGGCAATAGTATGGGAATACTAGGGCAATCATAGGGCAATACTGTACTCAGGGAATACTAGGGCAATATTAAAGGTGACCACTAGGAGAATACTAGGGGAATTGTGAGGGAATACTAGAGGTATACCAAGAAAATAGTTAAGGAAGACTAGGGCAATACTGAAGGTATTCCCCTAGTATTCCCCTTCCCTTACTAGGAAATACTCGGGGCATACCAAGAGAATACTAAAGAAATACTAGGGCAATACTGGGGAAATACTCAAGGAAGACTAGGGAAATACTAAAGGAGCATTCTAGGAGAATGCTAGGGGAATGCAGGGGGAATACGAGGGGTATACTCTCAAGCTCAATTTGTTTGACCTCTCAGGTTTCCTTGCTAGGGCACCAGGGCAATACTAGGGAATACTCAGAAAATACTAGGGGAGTAATAAAGGAGAATACCAGGGGAAAACTGATAAAACTGAAAAACAACTGAACAACCAAGGATTCTGAGGGACATGAGGGCTGCCCCCCCCCCCATGTCCCTCCAAATCCTTGGTGTTTCAGTTTTGTTTTCTTCAGTTTTTTTCAGTTTCCAAAGAGCTTCCTTGAAGAGATGCCCTTATGCAAGCATAGTGCTTGGTTGCAGTATGGGCTGGGTTTGGCAGATGAGAGGCTGTTGCAGTTGCGGAAAATGGCTTGAACCATGAGTGTTCTGGCAGATGCAGGGTTTTGTCAGAAAACACCGCAAATACCAGTGTTTTCAGACACAACCGTGGATTTGTTTTGGGGGGTACCATATATATATATATAGAGATCAATACATACATATTTAATATGCTGTTTTAGGGAATGGACCGCTAGTTGAAGAAGTCCCCACATGAATGGGCGTGTCTTTTTGTAAATGGTGTTTCTCCTTTTGGTTTCCCTTTCCCACAAAAAGGGGGTACCAACTCCAAGCAAAGACGCACCCTGAATGAAGAACCTCCAAGTTACAAGAACAATGCCCTAAGGGTCCAAGCAATTTGTGAGGATGTACTTTGACTCTTTTTGACCCATCAAGTACATCCTTGGAAGGTACCAAGGGACCCGTTCGGTAACCAAAGTGCCCATTAATTTGTTGCAACACATGTTTCTCAAGGAGTTGGAATCTTAGGGATAGGAACCGCCAAGAAAAAACACGTACACTCCTGCAAATGAACATGGAACCCCACAAATGGTGTGCATCCGATTTTTAAGGGAGTACCAACTCCAAAAACCGGGGGGGGAGGGAGGGAACCGCCAAGTTGTCTCAGAAAACGCGCAGAGCCCACTTCCCCCCGTTGCGTAACACGGAGCAGAAAAACTAGGTCATAGAAAAAAGCAACATAGAAGGGGTTCCTGGCGAGAAACGCTGTTTTTTTTCTCCCTTTTCCGGGTCCCAAAGAAACCAAGCGGTTCTCCCCGTTCGGTTGACCGATTCGAATCGGGAGGTCTTGGAGCACGCGAGTTTGCACCCCACCACTGTGGACACGGTGCATCGCCACGGGGGCTCCACGTCTCCCACCAGCCCCTGGCCGGAGGAGGCGAGAGTCTCCGTCCGAACACCGAAAACGCAAACCGAAAACCGGACGGCCGGGGAGGCGCCAAGGTAAGCTGGGCGGCTCGTCTTTGTGTGGAGGAGAAACCCTTTTTGATGGGTGATGATTATTTTTATTTTTTGGGGGAACTACAGGGAAAACTGTGAAGCCATGTTGGGATTCCTGAAAAGGGACGAGCAGGCGAAGATTCCAGGCCATGGGAGTTGTTCAGGGGTGGAGGTCGCCCTTGGTTTGTTTCCGTGGGAATTTGATTGTGGAGGTCATATATTGTACCTCTTGGAATCGGGTAAAGCTGCCTATCCCAGTGGTAAGCCAAAACGTCTACCTCCAAAACTTTCCCCCTGCTCAACGGTAACATGGCCGTGGCTCCAAAAAGTGGTACCAAAATGGCACCTTGGCAAATGGAACCAAAGACGAGAGAACCGCGCAACCCCTGCTCGATTTGGAGCCATACCCACATGGCGCAGACTCTGCTGGCCGTCCCAGTTGCAAGTTGAGGCTCCAGGCAGCCCCCGCGAGTCACACCACTCCCCTAGGAGAAGGAGGAGGACCGCCTCGAACGCTTGGAGCGGCTGCTGCTGAGGGTCAGCAAGGGCAAGAAGAGCAGCCCAGCCGGGATCCTTTTGTCTTTTCTTTAGGGATGAGTGGTTTTCAAACAAAGTCGACCAACAAACATATGTTTGGGCTCTTGATCCTTTTTTTCTTTTCTTTAGGGATGAGTGGTTTGCACAAAAAGTCGACCAACAAACATCTATTTGGGCTCTTGCTTCCATTCGTTTGGGGTTCGCTTGGTTTCTGGTTCTGTTTTTGCTGATGTTCCCTTTGTTTTGTGTTTGGTTTGTTTTAGCTGAATCCCTTGAAAGACCCAGACACCCAATGTCAAGAAACAGATACTTACTGCTCTGTGTTTTCCCATGTTTCAGGCTTTTGACTTGTTTTCGACCCGTGTTTCCCGTCTTGCTTCAAAGGGTTCGGCTACAGGAACATCTACAGGAAATGCCGCCCCGAACCACTAAAAACATCAGCTGTTTTCCTGTAGAGTTTCCCTAAATCCCCCAGTAGTGTCCTTTTGCACTTTTTTGGAGGAGGGTTCCCCTACTAAAATAGACTACATGAAACAAGGAGAAAAACAAAAACGGGTACCCTAACCACTCTACTGGAGGACCTAGCTTCTTGAGGCTCGGTCCAAAGTCGTGACTTGTCTATGTTCCATTTGGGGCTGACATGGAAGGCTCTTGGAAGTAGTTTTGACCGTGCCTGCTTTGGATCTATGATGCAAAAGGTTAGAGTTTCCCGTAACCCAAGCCTCTGTTTTTTTCTTTTTCCAGGCAAAGGCCAGGTGGCCGGTCCGTCGGAGGCGCGGGCTCGCCGGGCTCGGACATGGCCGATGTAAGGACCCTCGGATACCATGCAAAAAGGTGGCTGGGCTCATATAGCCATGTCTTCCCCCCCCCCCCCCTCCCGTTTTTGGAGAGAGAGGACGGAAGGACCCTGTTCAGTTACCATGTAAACAATAATTGAGCTCATATAATCATGACTTATATACCTAAGGATTGTTATCATCCAAATTGGGTCCTTGCCATTCTTTTGATGGGGGCAAGGAACCCTAGCGACTATGAGCCAGCTTCCCTTCTCTGTGTCTCCGTTTGTCTCTGTGTGTGCGTGTTGTTGAGGGTGCCCTTTTTAAAGGAGCATCACAATTGTTTAGGGTCCCTTTATTTGGACACCATATCCAGGGCTCTGAATCTGTTGGGCAGCGCTCAAAACCCCTCTACGCCGTTTTAGGTGGTTCTACTACCTGGTTTCAGATCAGTTCTCATCCCCAGTGCAAAACAAAGTATGGATGAACGTTCGCCCAGGTCCCCCAAAACGAAAATGGGTTCGGGGTGTCCTCACCCTTGGAAAATTGGGCCCCTCCCGGCCGCAACTTGTGTGCCCTTCCTAAACCAAAGCCTTCAGTGTTTTCAAACGCTTAGTTGGGTGTGGGTGGGCAGTTTGACTCCCCAAATGAGCGGGGCACTGTTGGCACAGTGCTCTTAGCCAATCCTGGAGTTGAGATCTTTCCCATGCTCTCATTCCTTTGGTCACTTCTTCCATCATTACAACTGCAAAAGAGAATGATTAGAAGAATAGATAGATGAGAGAAATGTACGAAACAAATACAGCAGACAAGACCCCACTAAAGTGAATCGTTGATTGAGAATGCGAGAATGCGAAATTATGTAATCTGCAAGCTAATAAAAGGAGAGGACAGCAGGAATGACCACAAAGTGAATAATATAACATATTATGATGAAGTTGCGATATTAACAAAAGCATGTCCTCGAGATATTGATAGCAGCATAGATTAGTTCACAAGGACCTGGAAGATAAAAAGCTTCTCCTGGCCACATTTCTAAAGTTGGAGAAGACGGCATATGAACAGATGTCCAAATGAAGGATGCAAATAATAGAGCAACACTGTATGAATAAGACATTGTTTGGTTGATTATGTTAATACATCTCTAGACCAAGTATGAACACAATAACAAAACACAATATCAGAAAATGGTTCTATTACAAGTGAATTCCAGTCCAACAACAAATATTATTTCCGGTAACCATACATGATTATAGTTCTAATATTTGCAAAGACCAATACGATATAAATGCATGTAACACCAAAACAACATGAATATGATGTAACTTCTAAATGTAATGGTTTCCATAGTAAAGTACCAGCAATAGAAAGTCTCTTTATGGGGAGACTTGATTTGTTGTGATTTGTTGTTAAGGTCAGGATGTTCATTTTACTCCCTGATGATGCATATCTTTCCATCACTTGTTCAAAATGCATGTTTGGAGTTTATCCGCTTGGAGCTGTCAAGAGCAGCATTATTTGGGGCACTTCATAATTTGTTTGTTTGTTTCTTCTTTTTGTCACTTCGTCCTTACCTTTCTTTATTGAAGGTTACATTATCATCAACAGTTCTTTGAACTAGAAATGCAAAGACGACATGCTAGGAAAAGAAGACAACATGTTCACCATACAGATGCAACATGATATTGTAGAAGCAACACAAGTACTAAATCACATGACAAGGTGACGAGACAACAACAAAAACACCAAGAATGAAGAAGGCGCCGTTTCCCTGAGTCTATATCTGCCTTGCTTACCAATTCTGAGGATTACGACATGAAAGCAAAGAGAAAGACTTGGCCGCGCTTGGACTGGGATCCTGTTCGGGTTCTGGTCGCGTTTGGATGCTGGAGGGTTGCGTTTGGTACGGTCTTCGGTTTTCAGGGGAGGTTCCGTTGGCCGCGCTCAGGGGGCCTCAAGTTGAAACGCCGAAAGTTTGGGGCTATCCCATCGAATCAAATCCCGCCGGGCTTCAACTGGACACATATACCTGTATGGAGTGTGCGGGATTTTGTTCGGGTAGGGAAAACTTGCTTGATCGTGCTCTTCCAAGGTCTTGTTGAAGATGGTTTCCATTGTCCCAAAACCACCTGGTACAGGAACAGTAAGGGTATATGCCAGGAACTCATTGTACCCACTTAGAGAGTGGCAAGTGATGTATGGAATGGAGGCATACCCCAAATATCGATGCATGTGCATGGAAGGGTGCGCAAAGCCTCTCGCAACACCCTCGCATTTTGCCAAGTTACTGGAATGTGTGCCCAAGTACCCACTTCCCTCAAACATGCTCAAGGATGAAGCCCTATCCGCAAAAAGCACAGAACAAGAAACTAACTCCTAGGTTCCACATCAGTCGGCCGTTTTGGAAAGGGGTGTTCGGCACCAAAACACTGGACATCCTGGAAAAGGTTGTAGGAGAGAATTAGGGAGGTCCCTGGAATATGGAACCACCCTCCCTGGCCCTGTATGGTCCGGATTAATCCGGGCAACATTAGACGATTGTCATACCGGGTATGTGACAAAAACAAGTTGGCCCTGAAGGTTTCCTAGTAAGCCTCCTATGAAACTCTCTTTTGCTGCTTTGATTCCTTTCTTTTAGGGGGACCCCACTGATTCACCGTACGCGGACCCACCCCGCTAGGCCGGCAGTGTTGACTCTTCTGGCCTCTAGGGCCGTTTGGCCGGGGCCCAAGGGGGGAGGGGGCGACCTCCAATCCGGTTTTGTCAGACGTGCGTTAGCAGTGGTAGTGGCAGCAGCAGCAGTAGCAGTAGCAGCAGCAGCAGCAGCAGTAGCAGTGGTAGTAGTGGTACTAGAAGTACGGAGTAGTAGCAGCAGCAGTAGGAGGAGCAATATCATCATAGCTATTATCTCAGCAAGGGATCACGCACCACCAAGGTTCGGGCTGCTTGCGGAATGGTTGGTGTTGCTTGAGGCTTAGCCCACGGCCGCCAACGTACCAAGTTGGGGTGGTAAAGGAGAAACCAAAAGCCGTAGGGTGTCCTTCTGATCGGCGCTGGTTTGGTTAGAAATCGATGGGTTCCACTGGTCTGGATGGGTGTTTTTGCCCCATTTGCCAGGGGTATCTACTTTTCCGAAAGGTCACCTATGTCAAAGGCAAGCCCATTTAAATCATGAACGGAGGGAGTCCTATTTCTGGGCAAATGAATTCCATGTCTTATTTGCGGTGTGGGTTATCATAATTTGCCTGTTCGAGATTTTCAAAAACGGCCCTTTGGCAAGTGGCGTGGTTTATTATTTGAGGCGAATGGTGCCCTGTGGCTGGGAATCAGTGCAGGGAAGCTATGAGGTTTGAGGGTCCCAGGTTTGAGATGAGCCCATGTGGTGGTGTTTCTCCCAGCCCTTTCGCCTCTGACAAAAACCATTTGGCGTCGAGGCGCGAGCAAGGAGGGAGCTTTCTATTTGGCGTCTCGGTCGGAAGAAGGCCAGAATTCAGGTTTAAGCTCCATCGGCAAGAACTCCTTTCCAACAGGAGCTGTTGGTCTCCAGGTCTGTGCAATACTGTGCAAGCCGCGGTACCAACCCACCGCCCCTTTACAGGTCCAGGGAAACCTTGTTGGCCTAGAAAGACAACAAAGACATATTGCCAACAACTCGTGTGGAACCCGCAGAAGCCGGCTGTTGAGGGTTTCGCGCTGTGCGTCTTGGCTATCTCAGGCCTTTTTCTGAGATCATCGAGATCGGAGTGCAGAGAGGCAGATGCGCTAAGCGTTGACTCTCAGACGGAGACATTTGCTGGGTGATGTTGCGTTTTGGCTGGTGTTCACATTGAGTTGTGGCGGAATCGATCTAATGGCTGAAACTGAATGCCCATGAAACCTTCACAAAGGTGAGTGCCAAAAAAGCAACCTAGTTTGGAGGTTCAAGCATTCCATGGAGCCATTAGGATCATCTGAACTCCCATTTCTTCAGCCTTTCCCAGCTTGCCGTCTCGAGTCGTTGTTCTGCCGCCACCGCGGCGCGCGGCTGCGCGCGCGCGCGCGAGATACAATTTTCCTCCTTTTCTGCCGACTTTTCTGACTGAAAGCCCCGCAGGGGCGACTTCTTTCTCGGTGCCTGGCCCACTCTTCCGAAACCAGGACCAATTCTAAGAAGGTGCCTTCGAAATCTGTCGTTTTGTGGGCTTTGGCGCTTTCGTTTGCGGGCTTGGGGCCGCTTTGCGGCCTTTGAACTTCGAGCGTATGGGTGGGGTGTGATGGTGAACAGAGGACACCTACCTATTTGTAGGTGGGTTGTCCTTCAAACACGCGGTTTTACAAAAAACCGGCGTTCCCGTTTTTGGTCGCCCATGGGGGTCAAAAAAGACGACGAAACCGAAGGAGACCCCACCCGAGTTGCTGAGGGACAGTCACCGCCAATTTAGTTGCCTGGAATTTGGAGCCGATTCGGGCCCTTTGCCAGCACCTCTCGGTTCTCTTTTTGTTGGCTCGGTCCAAAGGCGTGACTTGTTTATTTTCCATTTGGGGCTGACATGGAAGGCTCTTGCAAGTAGTTTGGATCGTGCCTCTTTGTATGCAAAAGGTTAGCTACCGGAGGTGCGCAATGGGTCAGATCAGGCGCTACAAAACGGCGTCCTTCAGCACGTGATAGGCATTAAACATGCAATGAGGGAGCTAGAGAGAGCGAGCAAGGCCGCGGACCAAATGGCCCAAGAAAAGGGTGGCCTTCTGCCCTTGACCCAAACGTGTCAGTCCAAATCTGAGCTTTTTGCCTGCTGGCTTCCCTTTGGCCTTGGTTTTTGTAGCCTTGTTCGCAGGCTCCGCAAGGGACTCCCGCGACTCCAGCGGCTTATGAAGAGCTAGATTTTATACTAGCGTTTTGGAGCTAGTACCAAGGTGAGCCAGAATCAAAACCCGGGTAGATGACGGTTAGTAAGGGACAATCCCAACCATAAATTGCTGCGGCCGCCGGGCCCGGCCGCCTTATTCATTCATGGTTATGGGTCGACCTATTTAATACCGTGTTTGATTATGACTCAGGGGACCATTTCCCAAAACACTAACTCGCCTGCCTTTTTTTCCCCATGTCCAAAATCCAAAGTACGGCAACCAAGAAGCAGTTGCGGGGGTTCTGGTTGTTAAGTTTGTTTGATCTTGATTGTTCAGTCGGTGTTCGGTTTTCGTCACCCCCTGAACGAATCTGGCACCTGACAGAGGCCCCATTCAGGAGGGAATTAAAATTATCACACAAGCCAATATTGATTTCGACCCACAAAAAGGGGATCCATGGGAAGGTTGTTGCTTTCAGCAGTCCGTTTTGGCACTAGTCAATAGTCTCCTCGGCTGCAATGGCTCCATGGCTTTGAATCATGTGACACATGTTTGTTATTCAAGCCAAATGGAGTCGATCGCAGACTCTTTGTATCACTCAGCCGCTTGACTCGGGCGACAGCGGCCGCTATTTCGCAGGCGATTCGCTGGACATCCAGCAGACCGTTGATTCTTTGGTACCCAAAATGCCAACATGGGGTGCGTTGCTTTGAAGGGTACCCCATTTTAGGTGAGTCAGGGACGCAAAGTTACATCTTCAAGGGCGCGGTGCAATAGGATGAGGCTGGGAATTGGTTTCCCTACCAAGAGGATTTTAGCCAATACCCGAGTCGTTTAGTGGCACTTGCTTTGTCCTTTTTATTTGGTGGCTTCCCCACTCAACATGGTCACTCCCAAAACACGATTCCTTTTTTCAACCAGTCACTTGACAAGTGGGATACACGTCCCCATTCTTGGACACAGCCCTTCATTTGGGAGAATCGAGGTATCAAGGTTATCAAGGGGTCAAGCACCCAATGATGCTTCTATGATCAAAACTGAATTCGCTTTTAGTGCCCGACAACCCCTTCTTGATGTTTATATATCTTAAAGCCTTTATCGACTTCAAGGGACACAATATCCGATTTTAGTTTAGGCAACTTAGCAACCATAGACTGTTTAATTTGCAGGGTTTGGAGTCGGATTTCTGGCAAATGGAGCTTTTGCCTTTTCCCAGGTAAGGCCATGCAGGTGACCACTTGGTTTTCCTTTGGTTTTCAAACAAGGGAAGCCCTCGGTCGGTTTCTACAGGTAAAGCGATCCACTAAAAATCAGAGCCCAAATTCTTCCCTCGGATGGGATCGATAGCGGGCCAGAATCGGACCTTCCCTGGCTGGACTGTTCGCTTATTTTGTTTGGGGTTTTGGCATCTCCCGCACCTTGTTTTTTTTTTTTTTTGCGAGGGATCAGCGAAGCAAGAAGCATGCACCCAGTGCGAAACCAGTCCAGTGGATCCCCTCAATTAGTTGAATCCCCACTGAAAGGGGACACCGCACCGAATTCCACCGAATCCCATTTTGCAAAAGATCGGTGCAAATCTGCCCTGCTGGCTTTTGGGTACGCGAGAGGTTTGGGATGGGACTACAAGGTCTCTTCCCCGAAAATGGTTTCGCGTTCTCGCGAACAAGGATGCGCGGTCAGGGTTGCTCCTTGTGGCACCAAGCAAAGCATTGCGTGACCCATTGGGGTTTCAGCACTTCAGCACAAATGGCTTTGACTTTTAATGGCGAATCCTTCTGAAAAGACGTAAATCCCCACTTAAATGATGTCCACCAAAGGGCCCGGAAAATGTCATACCCAAATTTTGGGCTCCGAAGTCGGATTCGAGCGGCACATGTGAGTATCACCCAAACCTTTCCAGGCATCATTTTTTCCAACTTGCGAAACCAGGTGGCGATTTCTTGGACTGAGTGGATCCTTTTTTGAAGCCCTTTGACAGGGAGCCTATGTGGAACCGAAGCGGATGATCGAGGGTCAGACCACATGAAAAGCGGATGATTGTGGGTCATGTAGCATGGTGCCCTTCAGCCGGAGGTTGGACAGTTTTTCCGGGGAGCCATCCTAGCCGCAGCGCCGAAGAAGTTTCTTTCGCAATGAGAGTCACTCTCTCGCCCTTCCACTTCCCCAGGGCTGGGGAATCGGGCAAAGTGAGCAGCGGCAAACCGAAGCCAACAGCTTCTGGCTTCGGCGGTCGTTTGGGGTTCGGTTCTGCCTGGTTTGGTGGTTCTAGAAAGGGCTAGTTATAGCCATAGTTCAACCCAACATGGTTGAACCAAAGTCAATGGGTGAACCGGGCGCTGCTCAAGTCTGTACTGATTTTCTGTCTCATGCGGTTCAAAAAGTCGCGGAGCTCGAGCCGGATCAACCTTTCGATAGTATATCTATATTATATATGAGCAAGGGTGAAAACACGCCATGAAGAGTTCATTACTTTGGCCGCCATGACATGACCAAAATGTTGAAAACATGTAGTAGGCGACAGGGGTGCCATGAAGAGCGACACCCCTGTTTAGGATTAGCGGGGTTTTGGATGATGACTTGCACAAGTATATAAGTACCCATTTACTGACTTGCATGGACACTTCTATGTAGCAAGGAATTATGCAGCATTGTCCCGATGGATTTCGTGAAGGTGTATTTCACTATTCATCGTTTCCTACATAAGCAAGCCTGCCCGATTTTTCATGTGGAAGCAGAGTTCTGGCAGCCCCAGAGTCGGGAAAAATCCGGCCGCCGGAGCGACACCCAAAGCGACACCTGAGCAGCGATCAAAAATGCTCAAAGCAATTTAAGTAAGGGAGCGCTGAAATCAATCCGCGCGGAAGGTTTTCCGCAGGCCGCGGA